CGATCTCACCAGATGAGGACGGATGAAACTCGTTGTACTGCAGCCGGTTGGATTTTATACGATATTCATGAATCTCTTCTTCATGCATTTTCATACGAAATGAAGGTCCCCCTAACAATGTTATCTCATGAAATTCATCGAAACCAAATTTCTCTTCGTATCTACAATGTAAATTTGTGGCCATAAATCTGGCGACTCCAACTTTCATCAGAGCGGGAAAGCATGTTTCACGATAATTCATCAAGTACTCGTCTCAGTGATTCAATAAGGCCAATTTGCTCATCCTTCTTTCCACCGACTCGGCACCAAAGCAGTCTGCTTTCTGGTTGCTTCTTTGCATCAATAGGCCGCGAATATTCACATTCTCGTATTTCAGCCCGGCAACAGAGCTCTACTCTGTCGACCATTGAGGCCAACTATTTACTTACCCCTTTGCGTACAGGCTCACGACCTTCTAGCTCGTTGTTTCTATCACATCCATCAACTCAGATTGCTGCATATAAATGCTTTGATCCGCTCTTTTTTGCATCATTCGATTACTCACAGCTGTCAAGTTGTGTCCATGCTTCTCCTTTGTGCTCCTTAGTAAGGTTCATCTTCGCGTTTGCTCAACCATTTACTTCATGGAGTAATTCATCCGATAATTTCTATCTTTCGACACGTCCAATCATCTGCACCTTCAAGTAGTGCTTTCGTTCGGAGAGAAATATGATCTGTTTACTTACATCCTTTAACCTTCTGCACTATTATTCTTCTAATTTGGCTTTAGTCTCATTCCTTCTCTATCCCTCCTCCTCTTATGCTCTCTTTTATACCCTTTTCTGGTCACCAGGGCGTCAAGTTTGACCCCGACGGCAACCAACACATGCGATTGGAGTTTGCGCGCAGCAACACGAAAGTAACCAAGCCGAAATTGTCCAACCCCAGCATCCTGGCCGGATTCGGGCTTGGACCGCACCAGACAGCTGGGCCCGGGACCCTGGTAGGACTCGGGCCTGCAGGCGCAGCCGCAGGTCTGTCGGGACTGGTTGCGGGCCTGCCCCCGGGCCTGTTTCCTCAGCTGACCGGATGTAAGCACAAGAAACCCTTTTTCTGGGGGATTTCCCACAGTGACTCTTTTTAATTTCTCGGTTAAACCAGTTGCTATTGTTGAAAGGTTATGTCGTGTGCTTGCATAAACGAATCAGAATCTCTTGCCGATGCTGGGTTGGCATTTTTCTGGGACCAATTTATGTCGCCATCCATTCGGTGTTGGCGTTGCAGCCACTGGTAGAATTGCGACTCACTTCAAATTGAAAAGGAGTCATGACCTCGTTGCTATTTACCACCGTTGCTTGCGCCTCAAACGGACGTTTGCATTTCTAGCCTGGACTGCAATCTCCATCTGCCTTCATTGTGTCATCAGCCCGCCGAGGTGGGCTCGAACTGTGGCGGTGCGAGTTCACAGGCACAATTATTATCCCTCAGGCCTTTCGTTCAAAGTGGTTTGGATTGTGAAGCCACAACTTTTCTATCTCCGACGCCCACATTTCGTGTCTGTCTGTGATCCAGGCGAGCCCCGAAGGAGGCTAGAACTACGGTCCAGCCTGGTTGAGATTGCCTTTTGGCGATTGGTAGCGCAGTGAGGTTGAATACAACATCTTTTCTCTTCCGTTCATCTCATTTCTGTATGCGACAAGAACCAATTTCTCACTCTAAGAGGCATCAATAATTCTAATCAGACCTTTCTCATTGCGTCAAACCTTGCTTTACAAGAAGGGTTCAGAGTCAGAGGAGGAAAAATTCTTGGTAATTATAATCCAATAATATTATATATCATAATATTATACTAATAGCAATAATTATGAAAAATATATATTAATAAATAATAATAATATAGTATTAT